TCCCAGCGCTCACATTAAAGGTCTTCCGTCAGTGGGGAAAGCCGCCAAGGCCAGGGCCCGCACATTCCTCTTGGATTTCTTTGAGCTTAAGCGCGGAGGTGTGAGTTGCCGTTAAGTCTGCGGCCGAGACAGACCCCGCCCGGCCTGCCAGGCTCAATGCTCCCCGTCCGGGAGCTGCTGGTTTTCTGACCTGCGCCTTCCACAGCCCTGAGATCTCCTGCTAGCTTCCACCTTTCCCCTTGGGAGGCAGTTTGGCCAGAATCGATCAGCAGCTGACCAAACAGAATGGAAAGCGAGAACGCACACACACACACACACACACACACCAGCCTGGTAAGGCCCTGGCAGACTGAAAAAGAAATGGCTGCCCGGGGGGCTTAGACTGGGTTCGCTACCCAAGGAAGCCCTGCCTTCTCCCCCCAAGGCTGCAGGAACACCCCCTGCCAGGATGTAAGGAGGGCCCAATGAGCCTCGGCTGGCATCGAGCCTGCCCAATTTTCTCCCGGGGGGAGGACTGGGAAACCCCCCCCCCCCCCCAGAGAGCCCCGGATGGGCAGAGAAGGGGGCCTTGGACGGCTTCTCCGGCCAGGCTCCGCCCTGCTTTCGCCCGGGGAGGCGTTGGTTGGCGCACGAGCCAGGGATTTAATAGATCGGCTGTTCCCATTAAGATGAAAGTGTTTTGCGCGCAGCTCTTCAGGAACCATTTAATTTCTCTCTCTTAATCAGAGCCCTGAGCTCAGGGGGACTGAAGGGCCTGGCCTGGTCCGTAAGCTCAGCTGGAAGGAGAGAGGCGGGATGGCAGCGAGCGTTGTGGGGAAACGGGCAGCTCTTCTGCCAGCCAGCATCACAACGTGTGACACAAGGGCCCTGGGAACGGCATGGAAGGGGGCCTTGGCTCAGGGTGCCGCCTTTTGCGCCTTTTGTCCGCTCTTCCTCCAACCAGCCCGTATTCTGCTCTCCAGCAGAGAGCAAGGGGAAGAAGGACCTTGGGTTGCCTTCGAGAATGTCCCGGTGCAGTGGGAGGATGGATCTTGGGCTGCCGGATGGTTCTTCGCTTGTGTTTTTCTTCCTCCTCCTCTTCCTCAGCCTCAGAGGTGGATTGGGAGACTTGCCCAGCCTTGTGCCCGTTTGATTGGCATAGATGTGGTACAACAACATGCTTTCGCCTCTTCAACAAGTCAGGGTCTGTCTCTCTCTGTCTCTCTCTCCTCTTTCTCTGTGTTTCAGCATCTGTCTGTCTCTTTCTCTCCTTTCCTCTCCTCTCTCACTGTCTCTCTTCTCTTCCCCCTCTCTTCCCCTCTCTCCTCTCTCTCCTCTTTCTCTGTGTTTCAGTATCTGTCGCTTTCTCTCTCTCCTCTCTCTCTCTCTCTCTCTCTCTCTCTGTGTCTCAGTATCTGTCTGTCTCCTTCTCTCTCTCACTTTCTCTCTGCATGTCTGTCTCTCTCTCCTCTCTCACTCTCTGTCTCTCTCTTCTCTTCCCCCTCTCTTTTCCTCTCTCTCTCTCTGTGTCTCTGTGTCTCTGTGTCTGTGTCTCTGTACCTCTGTCTCTTTCTCTCTCTCTGTCTGTCTGTCTCTGTACCTCTGTTTGTCTCTGTCTATCTGTCCCCCCCCCCCCGGTGTGTGTCTCAGTATCTGTCTGTCTCTTTCTCTCTCTGTCAGCTTTGGAATCTGATCTCACTGAGATCAGCTTTGGAATCGTTATTAAAAGCTGCCACTCTCTCTGTCTCTCTCTTTCTCTCTCTGTCTGTCTATCCGTCTCTGTATCTCTGTTTCTCTCTCTGTCTGTCTCTGTCTCTCTGTCTCTTTCTCTCGTGTTGTAAAGACATTCCAGGTGCCCCGGTTGACTTGCGGAAACTTCACGTCACCTTCTCTTCCAGCCACCCTCAAAAGGCTCCAAGGATGTAAAAAAAAGTTCCCCAACCACTCCGGCTTTGGGGACCCGGCGGGGGAGGGAGGGGATGGTTCCCCGCGAGCGGCGGGCGAGTGCACACGTAGCTCCATTTGCCCGAGTGGCGGGCACACGTGCCCACCCCCTGCGCCAATGGAGCCCTTGTGCCTGCTCTTGCCCCCACGGCTCATGCAAGGGGGGGTACGCGTGCATGCTGGCCCGCCACTTCCTCGGCCCGGTGCCGAACAGCTGAAGGCTCAGTAGTGGGCCATAGCCCAAGGGTTGAGGGCCTCTGATCTAAAGTCGTGGGGTTTTTTGGGGGTGTGTGTGTGGAAAAGCATGAGACATTTTGTTTAAGTTCTTGTCATCCTCTGCAGAGGTCTGGTAGCACCCAGGATCCGGCTGTTCTCCTCTCCCAGGGATTTCTTGGAAGCGCCTGGCTGGTGTGGGTGGTGGGTTTGCCCCCATTCAGGGTCATTTGGCTGGCTGCGGGGGGGGGGGGGGTCTCTCTGAGCGTGGTTTTTCCTCCCCAAGCCATCCCTGTGCTCTGCCACCGAATAACCCGCGCTTGGCTCGTTGATCGGCAGGCTATTCCGAACCCCGTTTTGATTTGGCAATAACAAATCGTCGTTATTTTAGGTACTCCAAAGGGCTTCGTCCTGTTTTTTTTTTTTTTAAACCGACGTGACATAACGCTGCCTTTCAAAAGGCAGCTTATCCCAGGGTGGGGGGGTTCAACGGATGATAAATCCCGCTTCCCCCAAACTCTGAATGTTCCCCAAACTCCAGGCGGGGGAGGTTCTTAAGAAGAGACCGGACAGCCCCTTATCTGAAGTGGTAAAGGTCAGTGAGGGCGAACCTTCTCTGGGGGGGGGGGGGCGTGGATACCTACGGGGCTGCCCTGAGGAATTGGAAGGAAGCTGACGCTGAGTTCGAGCCCGTGGGGCCGGCCTTCGTTGCAAAACTCCTGGGGCTGCTCAGGTGGGGCAGGCGGGCCTTTGGGCAAGCCAAGAAGCGGTGGCAGCCACGCGTGTCTCCGGTCTGGGTCTGACGTGGGGCCGCCGCCCTGTTGCACCCCGGGGAATCTGGCTTCCCTCTCCTGTCATCTCAGCTGGTGGGGCTGGTGACAGAAGAGGGCCCGGCCTCCTTCCCTCCCAAGCGATGAGCCAAGCTGGGTGCGACACTGCGCAGGCCGGCCTGGCGACACCTCCCACCTCCATGCTTCCTCTTTCCGGTTTCTCACCCTCCAGAGTTTGAACCCGCTAGTCCCCAAGTGGGGAAGGGGCTCCCGTTTTTTGGGGGGGGGGGATAGGCAGGGGTCCCTGCTGAGCAAATAGCCTGCCTTCCTTTGGCAGGGGAGGTGTCTTTGGGACTCGCTGGATCCAGAGCTTGCCAAGGGAGGGCGGTGCAAGGGACCTTGGTGGCCCAAGAGCTGTGGCCAAGCAGCCCTTCCCTCCCCCCTCCAGTTCCCCAAATAGCGCCCCCCCCCCCCTTCCTCTCCCGCATTTCTCCGGACGAGCCTCGATAACCGTGAGGGGTTTCCTCCCCGTTTAGAAAAAGTAGGGGTGTTTGGCATCAGGGAACTTCCTGGGACTGACAAAGCCATTTTGCCAGCGTGGGGGGCAAGGGAGGAAGGAGTTCCCCGCCCCCCTCCCCTCCATCCCAGCTGAGATGGCCTAATTTGGGGCCCCTCTTTGAAAAGTCCTTTCGTGGCCCGTAAAGGACACATTGCAAGGCCTGGCTTGCTTACGGAGGGAGCTTTCTAGCGGTTTTCTCTCCTGTCTCATCCCTCAAATATGTTTGGCTCCGCTCGGATTCTCGTCACCCGGCCGGCCACACAGAGGCGGCGGCTTCTGGGCGCCGGAAGGAGCCCGCGGAGGCTGCGGTGATGGGAATCTCTCGGGGCCCAGCCCAGCGGTTCCCAGGAACTGGGGAAGGCGGCATGGGAACCAGCCGGGCTCTTGTTGTCCACGGCTGCCTGGGTGGGGGCAGAGAAAGAGGGCGTGGGGCACGCCGGGGGGGTTCAGACGTTTTTGGAGGGAGGCCTTTTCGCACCAAGAGAATCCCGGTAGCCTGTGACTCAGCCCTTAATGGCTTCCTTGCAGACTGTTTACTCTTTTGGGACGGTGGTTGGCTCTGGCCTCGCACATCCGGGCTGGGGAGTGTGTGTGTGTGTGTGAGAGAGAGAGAGAGTTACGTCTGAGCCAAGACTAGCTGGAACCACCATGTGCCACGCAAGGGAGTGAACGGAGGGGCAGCCTGCTCAGCCTGGAGGGGGGAAGGTGAGCCCCTCTCACCACCACCCCTCCGCCTGCAGCGGGGCGGGGGAAATAAAAATTAAAATGCAGAGGCCTCTTGTGAGCCGGGCCCAAGGAGAAGCTAATGGATCTGTGGGCGGCGGTTTCTTGGCTGGGGCAGAGGAGACGTCCACAGGGCGGGCGGGGGCCGCTGCTGCTGCTACTGCTGGGTCAGCATCTCTTGGCATCTTGAAGAGCCGCGCCGGGCGGGATTGCCGCCAAGCCCAGCATCCTTTACGGAGCCACTGGAATGCGCCGCAGTTGAGCCTGGCAGAGCCTTCTTCGCGAAAGGGGAGCCGGGAACCCCCCAGTTGATAATCAGCTCCAAGGCTTTGGGCTGGTGGGGAAGGAGAGGCTCTGGAGAGCTAGCCTTTCTGGTAGGGCACTGGGGAAATTCACGCGGCCGTGTGGGATTCATTGTTGAGGGAGGGAAGCTGTCCAAGTTAAGAGATACGTTTCCTTTTTTCTTTCCTTTTTTTTCTTTTCCTTTTAATAACCTGATGGGGAGCCCTGATTTCCCATTAGCGAAATGCAGCATTTGGCTCTCGTTCCAAGCCAGCCGTGCTCTGTCAGAAAGATATAAATAAGACGTCCTGACCCTGGTAAAACAGCCCCCCCGCCTCCCTCCCGTTAGGCCTCCCATTTTCCTTGCAGGCATCCTTAAGCGAGGGGAACTGGTTGGATTGCGGCTTCTTCCCTCGGATAGTTAAGTTAACCGGGGCTGGACCCGTAACGGCTAAACCTTGTGAGGTTTACCAGGCACCCTTGCCAGCCAGCTCCTTGTTGGGACACAGTTCGCAGGACCGACAGCTGGGGAGGCTGGACTTGGGCATCGGCCGGGTCTATTCCGCCCGGAGGCCCTTCCTCCTGACCGAAGGGTAGGAGAAGACTGGAAAAGGCGTCAGGTCTGTGCGTCCGGCCACACGCACACCGAGTCGCTGGACCTGGAAGTCTCAAATCGCTCAGGCTAAAAACAAATGGCAAGGCCTATAAACAGCCGTAATACCGTTTTTTCCTGGACCCCGTTCTGCTTGATAAGCAGATGCTTATTAAGGATAGGAGAAAATGTAAAAATGGACCCGGCCAGCTTGTTTTGCAAAATGGCACTCAGGGGAGGAGGAGCGGGGTGAGCTCCATTAGCACTTTCGGAGGCACCTGGGAAGGATTGGGGGTGTGTGGGTGCAAAACAACCCAGCTGCCACTATCGTCCTTCCTTTCTCCCTGGCATGGAGCTGGCTTCCAAATGCAGCTAAATTTGTCGAGGCTTCGAGACAACCTTCTGAGCAGAGACTCGGCCGAGGAAGCCTATGCTGTAAGCATCTTGGCCAGCGACGGTTTTTAGGGGAGGGTTTAAAACTATGAAGGGGGTTGGAATAATCCCCCTGACATGTTTTGGGGTTGACATGGTTCGATGGGACGAAAGCAGCGGTGGATGGACTGTCTAGCCAAACTCCATTTGGCATTTTGGTTTCTATTTGAAGGCGAAGGATGAACTCTGCCGAGTATCCCACGAAGGAAAATCGGACCCTTTGTAACTGAAATCAAAATTTCAGAATTGGAGATCGAATTCCTTACCCCCCACCCCCCCTGCCAAAAATGGGTTTGAGATTTGAGTGAGAGAAAGAAGGACACCCAGCCAGAAAAACCTAAATAAGATCAAGTGAGGTACTAATACCGTTCTATAAGGCCTTAGTAAAGCCATACCTAGAGTAATGCACCCAGTTTTGGTCACTGCACTATTAAAAAGATGTTGAGACCCTGGAAAGCGTGCAGAGAAGAGCAACCAGGATGATGAGGGGACTGGAGGCTGAAACATACGATGAATGGTTGCAAGAACTGGGCCTGGCTGGTCTAGTGAAGAGAAGGACCAGGGGAGACAGGAGAGCAGCCTTCCAATATTTGAGGGGCTGCCCCAGAGAGGAGGAGGGGGTCAAACTATTTTCTAAGGCATCTGAAGGCAGGACAAGGAATAAGGGATGAAAACTGAACAAGAAAAGATTCAACTATAAAAATAAGGAGAAACTTTCTGACAGGGAGAGCAATCGACCCCTGGAACAGAAGTTATGGGAGTTTCATCCCTGGAGGCTTTCGAGAAGAGACTGGGCTGCCATCTGTCAGAAATGGTGCAGGGTCTCCTATTTGGGTGGGAGGGAGGATGGGGTTGTATTAGATGACTTACAGGGTCCCTTCCAAGTCTGTTAATTTGTAGAGTTGATGTATTTGGTTATTTGTGAGCACCAAAAAAACCCGCTCTGTTCAGGAGGCTCTCCTGAAGGAAGTGTGGAAGGCCAGGCCTCCTCAATCTTTCTCGTTGCTTCTCTTTCAGATGGGAAGAGGAAGTGGCCAAGCGGATGCGGCTGGAGTCGATGGTGGAGACGCTGCAAGAGGTAAGAGCTTTCCCTCTGTTGAGGCATGGATGGGTAGCACCTTGGTTTCGCTGGTCATCAGGACTGGATCCCCTGAATGTTTGCATGCGCCAATCTTTGGAGCTGACGCCGGCTCACTCTGCGAATAAGGAAATCAAAGGAGCTCCCTGAATAGGGAACCCCAGGGGTCTGCTAGACCTCAGTTGGGAACAAATCAGCTGCAGCCATTGTGAGGCGCCTTCCTGACTCTGACCAGGACCTGGCAGCCGTTACTCTTCTGCCGGGGTCTCCAAACTTGGCAACTCTTAAAGACTTGCAGACTTCAACTTCCAGAATTCCTGAGCCATCCATGGTGGGAGGAATAGAAATCCAGAAGTCTTAAAGTTGCCTAATTAGGAGACACCTCCCTGCTCTTCTGGAGGGCTCTTCCACACTGAAAGGAGAGCAGCCCCAGGCCACCTCCTGGAGCTGGCAGGGGGCTGGGTGGAGGGAGAAACGGCGGGGGGGGCGTTGCTGCCTTCTCCCTCCTGTCTGCAGAAAGAAATCCCAGAGGAAGTGGGAAAAACTGGGGCTGACCCATTGATGATCGAGAGCAGGTCTGTGGCCAGCATCGATGGGCGGGAAGGTGGAGCACTCTCCGGAATATAAGGGAGAAATCCACGGGGCCTGGCACACCCCAAAATTGGGACCAGGTGGGGAAAGGGTGGTGAATCGGAGAGAAACCTGCACTCAAGGGAAGCCTGGGGGTGTTCTGATGTTAGTTCCAAAGCCCTTTTTCTCCTTTATTTCAACGGCTGTGAATTTTAGTCATTCACAGCCCGTCATGAGTCTGAAACAATTTATAAATAGTCCCATGGAAGTTTGCCACAATCCTTCAGGATAAGTCTGATAAGCACGCACCTTTATCTCCCTTGAAATGCTGCCAATTAGTTATACAAGGCCAAAAGGAGCACAAATTCAACACAGAGCTTCAGGTGTCAAACTGACCAGAACGAAGAAAGTTGCTTCCTGCAAAGATTCCTGTCCCTTTGCTCCTCCTTTATGTCTTATGGGAGGGCCAATCATCTCCCAGCCTTATTCCCGAGTCGCCCCTTTTGTCTCAGCCGCTCTTGCCTTCTGGCAGCTCTGCGCAAACGCGCACTGAGAACAGGCTCCCCCTGTTCCTCGGCCTCGCTGCTGCCAGATTCTAGAGGCTCCAGAGTCAGCACATAACTCCCGGATGGCCCTGCGCCCGTCTCTGCATCGGACTCGGGACCCTCGTCCGAGTCCTCCCCAGACTCCCGGACTGGCCCGCGTTCCTCCCCACTGTCCGACTCTGCTGCCGTCCGACGGGCCACAACAGAGGGTTCAGTAGGGCCCAGGATTAGTCTTCAGTGTAGCCGTTCGGGTCTCGTTCCTGCGTTTGCATCTTCCATTGTGTGTGTGGGGGTGTCTCTCCTTCCTCCCTTCAGGAAGCACAGGAGGCTGAAGCTCTCCAGGAGGAGCTGAATGAGAAAATCGAGAGGCTCAAAGCCGAACTGGTGGTCTTCAAGGGCCTGATGAGCGATGTAAGTACCCCAGGGCGGCTGTGTCGGTCGAAGCCGAGCCATCGTTCCCGCGCCGCTACGCCGACGGACAGAAAGGGACAAGTTGGCCGAGGGCTGCTTTGCGTAGTTAGATTTCACCCACCTGGTATATGACCCGACGCATCGCACCAGCCCGCTCGCCTTCCGCGTCCTGCTTCCCCTCCTCCGATCGGTGCCGATGCATTAACTTGCTGCTCTGCCCCCCCACACAAGCACCCCGATGTCTCAACAACCCCACCCCACCCCGGCGGTTGGCCAGGCAGCGCTAGGCCCGAGTGGCGGCCTCTCAAAGAGTCCCCCCCCCCCTCGCATGGCACTCCGCAGGACAGGGGTGGCCCCTCCCAAGGCTGATGTGCTCCCCTCCCCTGCTCCCAGGTGACCACCTGCTTCTCGTGCCGCCCTTGCAGGGACAAATAGGGGGACGGGGGGAGCCCAGGTACAGATCCCACCTGTATCCCAGGTACAGATCTATGCGCGTTCCCAGGGGTTCCAAGCGGTGTTGGAGTTTCTCTGGGGCAGGTTGTGTGAAAACCAGACACACAACAGGTGAGATATCAGAGGTGTGACCCTTCCCTGGTTGGCTTTGATCCCGAGGCTCTTTAGTCCTTTGGCTCGGAGAGTGAAGGAGAAGAGCCAGGTTGGTGACAGGTTGCTAACATTGTCCGTCGAGAGATTCTCCGTCATCCACGTCCCGGTTGTCCCAAACTTTTCTTGTGTCACCCCCCCCCCGAAAACATTTCGCTTCTCATCCGAGAAGCTTCCTCCGTTCCGAGTGAACTGAGTGAAATCAGAGAGTCAGAACCGAAGAAGCTTCTTCGGGTGAGAAGCGAAACGTTTTCAATGCTGGGGGGTGGAAAAACGAAGAAAGTTTTCCAGTTGCCTTTTGGAAAAGCACCTTTGGGGTTTAGAGAGGTAGCGGGGAGGTCTCTCTCTCACCCAGCAGGCTGGCGAGGTTCCTATCCGATAGTCCCTGTTATCCCCCGGGGAGATCTTCTCCCACCCCTCTGGGGAGAGACCCCAGCAACTTCTCGAGGCGATCCCTTCACGCGCGATAACTGGCGCACCGTCCCCAAGCGGAACATTTGTGGTGCTCGGGGAAAGAGGCGCCGTGTTTGCCCCAAGGCCGGCCTGACCCTTCCGAGTGTCTTTTCACCCTTCCGAGGTTTGTAATCCGCCCCCCCTCCCCTGCTGTCCTTCCCGCAGCCCATGACCGACCTGGACTCAAAGATCCAAGAGAAAGCCATGAAAGTGGACATGGACATCTGCCGGCGTATTGATATCACAGCCAAGCTGTGCGATGTAGCACAGCAGCGCAACTCGGAAGACGTTTCCAAGATATTCCAGGTGATTCGGCTGGAGAAGATGGCCGTGTTGTTATAAGGGTGGGGAGGAGCGGGAGAAGGAGCGGAGCCGGGGAGGCAACTGATGACCTCCCGGGGCCCCATTCTCCCCTCCTTCCCTCCTGAGGGTTCACAAGACCCTCCCAGATGCCAAGGAGGAGTCGTGTAGACCCCCTTGGAGGGACCCACCCCGTTTTTCTAGATCCCTGGCTAGTGGGCCTGGGATTAAGCCAGCCAAGCACTTGGCTGCCTTCGGGGGAGGTCTGCAAGCCAGGAGTGGCTGCCCCAAAGCCACTGGCCGCCTCCAAGGCTGAGTCTCACCCCCAGTGGCCCTTGACTTCCAGGCCGGCCACCCAGAGGCCTCCCTCACTCGGTGTTTGACGGTGGTGGACGCGTCTCCTTTTCGTTCTCTGGTGTCTGGAACTAACCACCGGTGGGGTGTGCGCGTGTGTGTCTGTGTTTCCAGTCTCTTTCCTCTGACTTCCATTCTGCGTAGCCCCTTTTCCTGGCCTGGTTCAGCCTTCCCAGTTGATGGACATGGCCGTAGGGCGGGCTTCTCCCCAAGGGCCGAGAAGACCCTTCCTGCCAGATCCTCTCTAGCTCTGCAGCTTCCCACCCTGAGCCCCTTCAGCTGCTTCAGCGTCCTGTCCCCCCCTCCTCCACCCTCCTTTGGGCCCGCGCATGGCTGGCCAAGTTGCCAAGGCCGCCCGTGGCTTGCTTCTGCTGCGTGCCTCCTCCTCCTCCTCCTCCCTCCGGTGTCCTTGTGGCCTGTGAGTTTTAACACCTCTCGTGTGGCTTGTGTGCTGCCTGGGGAGTTTTCTTCCCTTGCAGAGCGCTTGTCCGGCCTTCTCTGCTCCTCTCCCTCGCCCCAATGCAGCTGCTCAGCCCGGCCCTTGTCGTGACGGCCCTTCTCTCCGATTAAGGTGGCCTCCAAGAAGAAGGAACGCCGGTTCACATCGGAAGAAGACGTGGCTGAGCCGGACACGGACAACGCCCGCTTCTCGGAGGAGGACGTCAGCTGCTCTCTGAACATCACCGACGAAATGAAGAGGATGTTCAATCAGTTGTGAGTACCTGGGCGGTGGGCTCGGCCTTCCGGGTCTGGTCTCCAAAGCTCTGATCCAGCAAAGAGCACCTTGCCAGAGCAGCCAGGAGGGAGCCCTCCTCCTCCTCCTCCTCCTCCTGTTTCCCTTCCAGAATGGAATAGAAGAAGAGAGGAGAAGAGAGGAGAAGAATGGGGAATAAAATAGCAACAGCAATAGCACTTAGACTTATATACCGCTTCACCGTTGCTTTTACAGCCCCCTCTCAGTGGTTTACAGAGTCAGCCTCAGGCCCCCCCACAATCTGGAGCCTCGTTTTTCCCACCTCGGAAGTACGGAAGGCTGAGTCAGCCTTGAGCCTGGTGGGATTTGAACTGCCAAATTGCAGGCAGCCGGCAGTCAGCGGAGGTAGCCTGCAGTACTGCCCTCTCACCACTGCGCCACTGCGGCTCAGTAACAATAGAATAGAATAGGACTAGGATTAGAAAGAATAGAATTAGAAAGAATACAATAGAATTTTGGAATGAGGAATAGAATAAGAATAGAACAGAATAGAATAGCAGAATAGAATAGAACAGAATAGAATAGAATTTTGGAATATGGAATTGAATAGAATAAGAATAGAATAGAAGAATAGAATAGAATAGAATAGAATAGAATAGAATAGAATAGAATAGAATAGAATAGAATAGAATAGAATAGAATAGAATTTTGGAATATGGAATGGAATAGAATAAGAATAGAATTAGAATTAGAATAGGAAATAGAATAGAATAGAATTGAATTCTTTATTGGCAGATGTGATTGGACACACCAGGAATTTGTCTTTGGTGAATAAGCTCTTAGTACACATAAAAGCTGTAAGTGATAAGTCACGATCATAGTCATCATAAAAATACATTCATCATAAATCATAAGATTCAACACTTTAATAACCACAGGATACTAAATAAGCAATCAACATAAATCGTACTAGGAAACTAAAGAAAACAATATAAACCGTAAAGATACAAGCAAGGAAGGCTATGGTCATAAGTAGAAAAGGAGACAGGTAATAGAAAGGATGAGAAGAATAACGGTGATGCAGCTTTAGTAAATAGTTTGACAGTCTTGTGGCAATTAGTGGTTTACTTGGTTCCCTAGGTAAAAGAGTGCTAAATTTTCAATGCCAGCTCAGCTTGGGGGGGGTTGGGGGGGGTGGCCTTTGGCTTTTCTGTAAGTGGGTGGGACTTGAAAAGCTTTGAGCAGCCCGGCCCAGTTGGGAAAACTTGCCCAGCCATGACCCGACCCTCTTTGTCCTAAGGTTAGGGCTGACCTCAACTTCCTGCCTTCTGTCTGGGCTGCTGGGAAGGCAGTGAGCTCAGAAGGCAGAGAGAAAGAGCGGGGGGGTGCAGCCCTCTGTCTCAGGAGGGCTTTAGCGAGGGAGGGAGGGAAGAAGGAAGGAAGATTAGAAGGAAGGAAAACGAGAAAGAGACAAAGAGGAGAAGGGAGGAAGGAAAGGAAGGAAAGAAGGGAAGGAAGGGAAGGGAAGGAAGGAAGGAAGGAAGGAAGATCAGAAGGAAGGAAGGAAGGAAGATTAGAAGGAAGGAAAATGAGAAAGAGACAAAGAGGAGAAGGGAGGAAGGGAAGGAAGGAAAGAAGGGAAGGAAGGAAGGAAGGAAGGAAGATTAGAAGGAAGGAAAATGAGAAAGGCACAAGGAGAAGGGAGGAAGGGAAGGAAGGAAGATTAGAAGGAAGGAATGAGAAAGGCACAAAGAAGGAAGGAAGGAAGGAAGGAAGGAAGGAAGGAAGGAAAATGAGAAAGGCACAAGGAGAAGGAAGGAAAGGAAGGAAGGAAGGAAATTGAGAAAGGCACAAGGAAGGAAGGAAGGAAGGAAGATTAGAAGGAAG